TCCTCCTCCTCCCCTATTCCCCGTTTCCCCTCTCCCCCTTCCCCCTCGCCCCTCACTGGAACAACCGCTCCCTCATCAGCATGCTTCAAAGCAACCCTCAGAAAAGGAAGCCTTCAATGGCTATTTTATATATTTATATATATATATTTTTTTTTTAATATATATTAAAAAAAACACTTAGAAAAACACTGGATGTTTTTATTAAAAAAAACGTTTTTTATTAATATAAAAAGTAACTGGCAGGCATCCAAGATAGCGATTTTCAACGTATTCGTAATCCACGAGAGCTAGAATTTTAAAAAGTGGCTTTTTTAGATCTCAGAATGGATTCGGATATGTGGCTGAAAAGACCGGGGGCAAGGCCGGAAGATACGAGTGCCGAGGCAATCAAAAGTATGGACGCAAAGGAGCTGGAGGAGGAGATCCAACGCGAAGCTGAATTGGTCTTCCGGAGCAGCGCACTGAAAGTCATCAGCGAAAGCTCCGATGATTATGGCGTATTGACAGCGTTCAGGTTACTTTGTTACTTTGGTATTTTTTTGAATCAGTAAAATTCAATCGTTCTTGTAACCAGGTCTTTTTTGAGATTCATTCATTCGTTTCGTTGGTAAATTGGTACTAGCTGTCGAGAATAAAGCCCCGTCTTGCTCAGAAGTCTGGGTCAAAAGGGAATCGAACCACTCGTCTTCACATTCGGACGCAAAATTCTAAACCGTAGCGTTAGTATGCGAAATTTGTTTGCTGAAGCTTTACCTCTCAGTCCCTTTTCCTTCCTAGGCTCAATTGAGGTGCATTTCTACGAAATATCTGCATTTTAAAGTACAATATACTGATCTTTTCTCTTTCTCACAGTCCTTGTGTACTTCTTGTTTGGTGGCTTCTTTGCTAGCTTTTCGTGAGTTTCCAGGCGAAAGGGATTTCTGGAAGGAATTTTCCAGGCGAATTTCTGACGTTTTTGAACCAATTTCTGACAGGAATTTTTAATTTTTGGATCAATTGTTTCAGCAGTGTACCAAAGCCATCGACGGATTTGGAGGGTCTCGGTGATGATATGTTATATACCTCAACAGTAACACCCGAAATACAACCACTGCGTGATCCAGAAACCGGTGAAGTGAAAGGATTCTATGAAATTTATCCCGATCACGACGATGACGCAGGTGATTCGAGAACCTCAATGTCTCTCAACAGGTAAACCAACAGTAGTAGCAGTTACTTTGGCACGAAGTAAATCCTAATCCGCTTTTTTTTTCGTTTTTTTTTTTGCATCCATACAGTGCAATAACGCATATTGTCGAGGCATCTGTGTGTGTATGTGTGTGTGTGTGTGTGTGTGTGTATGTGTATGTGTCTGTGTGTTCGTCTGTACCGGTTTTTCATCTCGAGAC